CACACTACCTTCTCCTATTGCTTCAACACAATCACGTTTTTAATAGCTTTTTTAGTATTTAATATACACACACTAGTGAGATGTGTAATTTATAATGTGTTTTCTGTTCAAATTATTTTATCAAATTAATTATGTTTCATATTTTGTTATGAATATTTTTATAAAGTTTCGATTTGTTTTATTTTTCGCCCATATCCAACAATATTTACAACTATATTCCTTAGATAATTTATTTATTTTTTTAAATTATCTCTTTTTTTTTAATGTTTCGCTTTTACTGGAAAAATGTTCTGAATCCGTCCCTACTTCTTCGCCTCCCCGCAACCGAATTTCTGGCTCCGTCCCTGTACATCACGGGAGTGAAATTATTATTTTTATTCATAGTGATGGTGGTTGTGATTCAACACCTAGAGATACTAATGCATTTATAGACATATATTCCTATGTACAATAGGGCTTTACCCAATCCGATCCGCCCGCTCCTATTTACAAATTTTTATTTCTTATATGAGACAAACTCAACAATTGCAACTTTTAAACACTGATTATTAAATCAAGGGAAAATGAATCACTTCGATATAATTTTTTGAAGGTGGTAACCCATTTTGCGTATACAGATCATCAAATTTGAGTTCTACTATATGGACTTCTTATGTCTATTTTCTTACTTTTATTTCTTGATTTGACAAATTTCAGTTCTACTACATGGTAAAAATTAGGAGTAAGAGTAATATTTTCCGGCAAATATAATGGTAAGCTATTTTCATTCTTTAATTTGAGTCCAAAGACAAATTTTTATATCAATAATTTGAATGAGGGAGTAAAATTTAGGAGTCCAAGTAGTATTTTAATTTCCTTCAAAATCGCCCGCCAATCGATGTGACAGAGCACTTTACCAATGAAAACTCTAAGGGCATCCTCAATAGTGAGGGTTCTTGTGTAGTTTTTGATGAGTTTTTGTAAGTGTGATTAAGAAAGAAAATGAGAGGGGAGGGGAAAAAAAGAAAAAAAAATTAAATTCTAAAAAAAAAAAGTTGAATTACGCTCCGAGGCGGGCGCGTGCACTGCACGAGAGGTGCGCCTCACGTGCGTGAGGCGCACCTCTTTCTCCTCACTGTGGGACCCACACCTCTGCAAAAGCTTGGGTGCTTGCAGGACACACCCACTCGCTCTCTCTCCTCTCTTCTCTCTATATCTACTATCTCACTCAATCACAAAAACCCTTCTTCACAGTAGTTTTAGGTTTTTTTTTCTCAATTTTTTATGGACTCACCATTTTATCTTATATATTTTAATTATTTCTTTATCTATTTCCATTCTAAAAATTATAATTATAAATTTGATAATAACATGATTAATAATTTTAAATTTAATAATAATATTATTGATAATTAAGAATTTTAATTTAATTAATTAATATAAATTTAATAACAATAATAACTTTAAAAATTAAATAAAATTAAATTAATAATTAAAAAATAAAAACAAGAATTTTAAAAAGTTAAATTAAAAATAAATAAAAAATAAAAAATAAAAAATAGAAAAACAAGAGTTGGCCGTTGCAATTCGGCCGGCATGATTTTAAAATGAAATTTAAAAAAAAAAAAAAAAAAAAAAAAAAAAAAAGTCTTCAATAGCGGGCATGTGTAACACAACGCGCCGGCTAGGCCGCAGGCGGGTGAGACGCACTTGCGCGTCTCACTTTTTTTTTTTTTTTTTTTTTTTTTTTTTTTAACCTTACAGAACCAGGGGTGTTGCAGGAGAAAGAATTCTCCAAAATCAACATCCCCATTTGTAAAAAACAAAACATATGAGATTTTATTATTCAAAATTTGAGCATGATCTCCTAATGGGGTTGCTCTAATTCACTTGGAAAACCCAAAATCAAAAACTCAATACACAAAGTTGCATGATACTCAACAATGGCGGGAGAACAAAGCCCACAACGTCAAAGAACAAAAAAGGCACTGGAAGGGGGCAATCCCAATCAAGTTAGTCAAGCTGTTGATTTAATAACCACAATGTTACAAATATAATTTTCCTTGGGATCGGTTTATTGGTCTTCTTGGTTTGAGCTAGTCAGCTATGGACAATCTAAACTGATTTACCTCATTGTGGTCCTTTGTTTGCTAAGATCACAAGGCGAATTTTACCAATTTCACACCATTAAATAGTAGCTCTGAGTTTCTCTCATCACTAAAAAAAAAAATTAAAAAAATAAAATAAACTCAAGGGAAGAAGGCGCATATGCGACATTTATGACTACTTTTTAATATATGAGAGTTACAATACTTGAAACCCATTATACATAAATGCTTTCCAAGATTTGAAGAGATGTAATGTGCAATGTAGTCTTAATTATGATGGGAATATACATAGCGTATATTGTAGGAATGGATCGGCCCGATTTTTTGAGAAGATTGATCGACTTCTCCTAAAGCCTTCGTAATGTCGAGGGCAAAAGTCGATCTTTGGGGTAAGTTCTCGCGAACATCACATCAATTATCATTGTCTTGAAGATAACATCACTACTCGACATGTGTCACAAGTGATTTGAGTCGTTCATGAATGTTTGTCATGTCAACCTTGTAGTGAATTTCTGACAGGTATTCTCAATTCCAGCTCTATAAGTATTTCCCTCCACTAACTTGAGAGGGATCTATTTTTTGAAGTCTTGTGCACTTCCTAATTTAAGCAAAACCTTTCAAGCTCATTTGTAAACTTGAATTTTCACTTAAACTCCTTAATATAATTCATAAAATCATTACTTCACCTAAGTAGAACCACATTGATGGTCCTAGTGATGATGTACAAGTTTAAGAAGAAAAAGGGGAGGGGGGGGGGGGGGGTTGAATTGGGGTAAAATAGGGTGAATGCACTTTTAGAGTTTAAAGCTTTTACAAAAATAGCATTTGAAGGTTGATTAAGTTAAATTTTCAACATTATTGCCAGTGAATGTTATGTTGAAGGCTTAGCTACATAGTCAAAAAATACTTTGTTAAAATGAGTTATATACTGAAAAATTGATTTTTAAAAAACTAGTTAAGCACATAATGAAAAACAACACAAGTTAAGATTCTAAAGTAAATGTGCATAAAGTAAATATGAGTTAATTTTATTTTTGGTCCTAGATTTATAGGTGACAGTTCACTTTTAGTCATTTTTTATCAAAACATTCACTTTTTGTCCTAGTATTATTGTGTCATGACCATTTTTGGTCCTCTATCAACAAAACAACTTAAATTTCATTAAATGCAAGGGCATTTCGGTCTTCTTTTACGGATTTTTTCAAAAAAATAAATATACAAAATATAGCGAGTCAACATACTTTGTATAAAAAAGATCAAAATATCCTTGTATTTAACTGCTTTTCAATGATTTTGTTGACGGAGGACCAAAAATGGTGATGCCACAATAATACTATGACCAAATGAGGATGTTCTGATAAAAAATGACTAAAAGTGGATTATCACCTATAAATCTAAGACCAAAAATGGAATTAACTCAAGTAAATATACACAAAAATTTATATCGGTTCGAGACTGATGTAATTCCTCTACTCCATTCTTCTCCTATCCTCTATTAAGTAATTTAATGGTAATCTTATTCACCCAATAAATTATAAGTAAAAGGCAAACAAGTGCTTAGATCACCAAGGTAACATTATTTGCTCCAGATTTCACAAGGTTTTTCAAAACTTGCTAGTAGCTTCTTTCTACAACCAATGTAGAGATCTACAATAAACTTCAACTCAAGGTTGAATATCCTCCAACTAATTGAGACAAAAAAAAAAAAAAAAAAAAAAAAAAAATCATGATTTTCTTTTAAAGTTATTATACTTTCTTGAATATATGGATGTTGGCATTTGAGGATCATTTGAAAGTATGCTTGAATATTCTCTTATTTATCTCATGCTTTCTCTTTTCAGCATTCCACATGTTTATACTTTGATTTTCATTTTGTTCATTGGTGGGAAACAAATTCAAATCATTAAATTTTCAATAAAATATTTTGCTAGGATTTGTATAGTATCACTAATTTTGAAAATGATTTGTACTAATTATACAAGATTTTTTTTTGAGGTTTCATTTCTAATCCTATTTTACACTTGCATTATCAAAATATATTATACACTTATTTCTAACAATTTTTCATTTTTAATGATGCCAAAACCTATAGTTAGTTGGTGGTTGTGAAAATTTATAACTTAAAAAAATTATTCAACCTTTTATTGCTTGATTAACAATCCACTTTTGAGTTTTATAGTCACATGCACCTAAATAATTTTAACACAAAATTGTACACAGGAAATAAAAGACAGAAATTTAAAAATTTCCTTCAATACTTAGCCACTGAAAATGGCCCTTCTCTTGCACCTTAATCTCTCTTTCAGCATTTGAATTTTCTCCTCCAATGTTCAAGATCATGACAAATTACACCTAAACTCTAAAATGATGGGATCAATTCTTTACACCTAAACTCTAAAATGATGGGATCATTTTCTAACGAATTGATAATGTTGACATTCCACTGATTCCAATTAAACAAGTTGTGTCGGCCTAAAGCTTTAGGTACGTGATTTTCATTCTTAAGAAAGTGTTTTGTTTTCTTTTTGTGTCCATCAAATATTTGTTTTACTTCTTGTGCGCCATTTTTACAGTTGTGGGACTAGTACGCCTTTCTCCTTAAGCTCCCTTATATAACACACAACACATCAAGGATGCATTTGGAATTTACTGAAAAATTCAGCAGTGGAACTACAATTTCCACCTCGCAAACTTGGAAACACTGAAATTAAAATTAAACAATTATAACTTGATTTGTTGGGCTTCTCCCTAAGAAGAAACACCCTCAAAAAATTGGAGTATGCCATTCATTGCAATGCACACACGGTATTCTTTAGTAAAAGGCGAAAGAATAGTTCGCTTTGTGTTCACTGCATGGCTGCTTAAGTAAAATGTTGTTGTGGCATCTATTTATAAGGAGCCTGGCTACTAGTGTTCATTTGTTCGTCCGATGTGGGAACGGTAACACTACTTTAGCCCAGCTTCTTTTCTATGCTTCCACTGCATCCTCTGTCGTCGTCGTTTCTCCTCCGGACAGCAGACAACGCCACTGCCTCCATCGCCGGCGACAGCTTGAGCTCCGTCGACAATGATTCCACCACACGTAGTTTATTAATTTTAATTTTATCAGTTGGGTTTTTCTCTCTCAAATATTTATGTGGACTGGGTTCATTGCCATTAGAGTTTATTGTCTCCAATGTTTACCTGCCAACTGAATCCCAAAGCTCTCCAGAGAATAGCCAGGCAACCGTCCCAGTTGGTGAAGACATTGTGCTCTTTTCAGAATGAGCACCACGTGTTTGATAGAAGTCCTAGACTAACTCTTAAGTCTATACACCATTCCATGTTTAATTTTATTCACCAGAGCCGATTTGAAGCTCTTAAAGTTTTCAAGAAACAGTTTCAAATGGGTGTCTCAGAGATTGATGAGGTTGCCATCGCGTTAGCTCTCAAGGCATGCAAAGGTGACTTGAAATTTGGGTCTCAATTACATAGTCTTACTATAAGAAGTGGATTATTTTCTTATATTACCAACCCGAATTCATTGATGAATATGTATTGCAAATCTGGACAGTTCAGTCATGCCATGCTTATTTTTGAGGACATGGAGAATCCTGATACTGTTTCATATAATACGGTGCTTTCTGGGTGTGAAAATGGAGGAGATGCATTGTGTTTTGCACATAGAATGCATGCACTTGGGGTTACTTTCGATGCAGTGAGTTATACAACAGCTCTCTCTCATTGTACGACTCAAGAAATGTTCATAGTTGGAAGTCAATTGCATTCTTGTGTAATAAAGTCCGGATTGGAATTTGAGGTTTTTATTGGGAATGCACTTGTGACTATGTATTTGAAGTGGGGGAAAATTGTAGAAGCTGAAAGAGTATTTCGTGAAATGCCAAGTAAAGACTTGGTTTCATGGAATACCCTAGTTGGAAGTCAATTGCATTCTTGTGTAATAAAGTCCGGATTGGAATTTGAGGGTTTTATTGGGAATGCACTTGTGACTATGTATTTAAAGTGGGGGAAAATTGTAGAAGCTGAAAGAGTATTTCGTGAAATGAAGTAAAGACTTGGTTTCATGGAATACCCTCCTCTCAGGGTATGCACAGGAAGGGAGTTATGCATTGGAAGCTATTTTGGGGTTCATTGAAATGGTAAGAGAAGGCATGAAACCGGATCATGTGTCATTAACTAGTGCAGTTTCAGCTTGTGGGCAGCAAAGAGATTTGGAATTTGGTAAGCAGATACATGGTTTTGCTATCAAGAGGGCCTACGGAACTCATGTTTCGGTTTGAGATTTTTAACTCAATGACGAGAGATTTCTCTATCGAACCGTCTGCAGAGCATTACTCTTGTGTGGTTGATATGTTGGGCCGTGCAGGGCGGCTAAATGAGGCTGAACAATTCATGTCCCGAATTCCAGGAGGACCGGGAATCTCTGCACTTCAAAGCCTGCTTGGTTCTTGCAGGACTCATGGCAATGTAGAGATGGCTAAGAGGGTAGGCGAAGCCCTGATCGCTTTGGAACCCGAGCATTCAGGTTCGTTCGTGTTGATGTCGAATTTGTATGCTGAGAAGGGGCAGTGGGAGAAGGTAGCAAACATCAGAAAGGGGATGAGATGTAGGGGAGTGAAGAAAGAGGTAGCATTTAGTTGGGTTGATGTAGGAAGCTTTGATGATTCTCTGAATCTGCATGGGTTTTCATCAGATGTCAAGTCTCATCCATTGTCTGAGGAAATTTATAGGATGGTGGAGTGGCTTGGATCAGAGATGAAACATTTAGAGGAAGATGAAGATGATAGATACAACAGGTTTGTAGCATGTGGTCATATTTGACTCAAAAGGTAGAGTAGTTCCATTTTTGAGATTATAATTGTAGTTGTAACTAAAAATATAATATTTAGAATAGTCATTTGATATTTTGATGTTTACATTTTTTCCAAAAAATATATATATATATATATTTGAGGCTCAAAGGCTGAATCCCAACCCTAAGGACCTCCCACACTCCGATCCGACAAAGACCAAACGCCCTATAATTCTTCCAAAAGGCTGAACCTCAATCCTAAGGGCCCCCCACACCCCGGCCCGACAGAGCATTTGGGAGGATGTAAATCATGGTGACTCAACTGAACATGAACCACAGAGGCTAGACCGGTGCTCACTGCGCACAAGGAGCCCCCAAATTGTCTGGCCCTATAATTGTTTAGACAGTAAGATGTGTGAATGGAGCAGTTACATGTGGCATGAATTTTAACAGATTATGCATGGAGTCTTCAGGAGATTAGTTTAAGATGGCATCTCTCCTTGATTTGAGGAAATCTTACAGATTAATTATGAGATAGTCTTTCATCTTATCATAAGGAAAGATTATATCATAGTTGTATGGATAAATCTGTTCTATCTATTTTGTAATTTTAGTGATCATCTAGTGAAATTGGGTTCGACTGAGTAAACATATCTTGGTTCCTTTATTTTTTTGCATTTATTTTATTCTTTATTTACTGTGTTTTTCTATGTCTAACACAGAGATCTACACAGAATTAATTTGTTTAAAATCTAAGTAGAAACCAGTTAAGGTTTTTCCTGAATTCAAGAATCAGCAACTAGGTTAAACGAAGTTAGGAAGAAGGTTGGTTGGCATGTTTACCTGGCCAATATACAACCAATTTATGACAGGCAAGTGCTAGTTTTGAAAACTGGGATAATTTCAGGAACCATTAATTCATCAACTTCTTCTTTTTTTTTTTTTTTAAAAAAAAAAAATCACCTTTTGATTCGTCAATTGTTAGGTTTCCTAACCATTAATAGAGTTCCTAGTTTTCAATTTCAACTAATTTGATTTTCAAATTATTTAAAATTTCGTCAATTAAACCTTTCTGAGTGACCAAAATGGGTAATGTTTTCATTTTTAAAATTTTGTCAATTTGATTCTTGAAGGGTTTAATTAATTGATGAAATTTTAAACAATTGAAGGATCAAATTAGTTAAAAATGAAAACTAAGAATTACATTGACAATTGAAAAATAATTGAGTGACCAATGCAGAATGGTGATTTCCCTTGTTCTCAATTGAACCTACAGGTGCTTGTCTGTGTAAGCATGATCAAATGACAACAGGGTTCTCTTGTAAAAAAGTGAAAACTGATATCAACCTATCATCATGTTTCATCAATGGTTAAGGGTTTTGGTGAAAAAATATAAGGTCAAATTTATAATTATTGTAAACTTTTAAATTTGTAATATATATGAAACTAACGTTGTCTTTTTTCTCATATTTTTCAAAAACCTTAAATTATTTTTCAAGATTAGAACCAAATTGGTAATTTCGCTATAATCAAGGGATCATTTCAGTAATTAACTCTATTTAATTTAATTAAGTCAAATAGCAAATAGTGATCAAATAAGTTAAAATTAATTGATAAACTAATTATGTTACCAAATAGCCTATATATTTAGGTATGTGGGTATCTAACTTGTTTTTTAATCAAAGCAGGAATATGAGAAAAAAAAAAAAAAAAAGTTCAGACCTGTTTACCCGAAGATGGAATTAGGTCAATTAATGCTGGGGGAGCTATTCCAGGTAGCTTGGCAATGCTAGTTGTCAGGCCACGTGTAGTGAAATGAACAACACGTTAGAAAAGTTGGTATTTAAAAATCAGCAACTAGGTTAAACGAAGTTAGGAAGAAGGTTGGTTGGCATGTTTACCTGGCCAACATACAACCAATTTATGACAGGCAAGTGCTAGCTTTGAAAATTGGGATAATTTCAGGAATCATTAATTCATCAACTTTTTTTTTTTTTTTGGAAAATTAACATTTTGATTCCTCAATTGTTTACTAACCATATAGTGATATTGTAAGTGAGTGCAAGAAGAGTGGTTTACAAAAGACTAGGAGGTGAAGCTTAACTGTGTTTTCAAAGAGAATAATTGGGTTGCTGATTGGCTTGCAAAGTTTGCGCTAAAGAGAAGATGTTGTTGAACATATAATCATTAATGTGCAATTCAATTATTAGCTTAGGCTTTTAGTTGAGATGAAGCACATGCTTCAATTTGGTATCAGAGCCAGACCAACGGTCATGGGTTCGAATTTTTACGTCACACGATAAGCGACTACGGTCCACGTGTTGTTTGGAACCCATCGCACACGTAATGGGGGCGTGTCACCCGCTAAGCGACTACGTGGAGGTCCACGTGTTGCCCCATGATGTGATTGGATGAGAGCTAGGTGCAAAACCAACTTCAAACAAAAATTGTTTCCCAACCGTCAATGTAGTCTCTAGTATTTAATTTGATCATCGAATTATTTAAAATTTCGTCAATTAAACTCTTTTGAGGGACCAAAATGGTAATTTCCTTATTTTTAAAATTTTGTCAATTTGTTCTTCGAAAGATTTGATTGACGATAAACAATTCAAAAATCAAAGTAATTAAAATTGAAAACTAGAGACTACATTAACAATTAGAAAACAATTGAGTGGCCAATGCAAAATGGTGATTTCCCTTTTTTTTCATTCTTTTTTCTAACTTCATTCTGAAATAAACGAGTATATATATATATATATATATCAATGTTGCAAAAATCGCGCCTAGGCGCCATTGCGCCGCCGTGAGGAACGGCCTCCGCGGCCGGCCGGTTCGGTGGTTTTTTTTTTTTTTTTTTTTTTTTGAAAATGTCGGAAAAGTTTCAGAAGGCATAACTTTTGACTCGGTTGTCCGATTTGGACAATTTTTTTTTTCAAATCGCGTATTTTTTCGAAGGCGGTTTGGTCCACTAATTTCTCAAAAAAATGCTTCTTTAGCTCTTAATTTTAGTTTTTTATGTATTTAGATGGTTTAAAAAATCTTTTGAACACTTTTACAACCACTTTCGTAAATAATTTCTAAGAAATAACTATAGAAACCTTATGTTTTATTACTAAATTTTAAATTTTATTTTTAATTAAAAAAAATAAAAATAAAAAAATAAAAAATCGGCGCCTAGGCGCCCCCTTGGCGCCTAGGGGGCGCCTAGCGTGTTTTGCAACATTGATATATATATATATATATATATATATATATATATATATATATATATAACAACGGAAAGGCTGAAGCTGAATACGGATGATGTCTTCTCAGAGAGTGGCGCAGTAGGGGCGCTTGTATAAGAAATGCTCATGGGCAGATTTTGGTAGGTCTCTGCTTCCGTTTTGATGTGTCGTCAGCTTTGGAGGCTGAGACTTTGTCACTTCAGTTAGCCTTACAATGGTGTGATACGATTGCCAACAGACCTCACGAGGTTGAAGTTGATTCCCTTTCCCTCGCCAACTACACTTCAATTCGTCGGGGACTGCAAGGATCCCGTGGAAGATTAAGGATGTCATCCTCTTCGTTCGCTCTTGCCTAAGCTCGTGGGGAACCTCGATTACGCATATCTATCGAGAGACCAATCAAATCATTGATGCTCTTGCAACGGTTGGACTTGGTTCTAGCTCTTCAAGGATTTTTTGCTAGCTCTTTCAATACTTTGCATGTAAAAGCCAAAATGATGCTATTATATGATCTTAGAGGTTTTGCCTCCTGTCGGACGGTTCATCGTCAATAATTTCTTGTTTGTTTAAAAAAAAAAAAAACGAGTATGTATAAAGAATAAAACAAGAAAGAGATCAGAATAATTTATTATAATTGGCAAAACATACCCATACAACAATGCACAAAAGACTTTTGAACATGATGACAAATAGACACGTGGAAATAGAACTATTGTATTGCTTTAGGGGATTCACTCTGTGTAGAAATGTATTTTAGGATTTCATCATTTCACATCAACACTCAAATACTCAATATTACATTTATTTTCAATATATGCATTGTTCTCTATTTTTTTTTTTTTTTTAAATACGTACTCATGCTTCTGTATAAAGTAATATATGTTTGGGAAAATGGCACTTTTTATTCCTAAGTTATATACTTATAGCATTTTTTTCTCTCAATTATTTAGGTAAGCATATTAGCCCCCTCAATTATTCTAAAAGTGGTACTTTTTCCCCCTGATATATTAAATTGACATTTATACCCTTAAAATAAACATTTTATTTATTTTACTACTCCAACAAATTATTGCGTATACGTAGGGATGACCACGGTTCGGTTTGAATTGAACCGGATACTAAAGCAATCGAATTAATAGTTTCCGGTTATAATTCAGATCTAGAACTTAATATTTAAATGTCAATTTATTAAAATTATGTATCAAAAAAATTGAATCTTGAACCGTGAACCGGCGGTTCCGGATCCGATTCGCGATTTTGAACAGTCTTTATTTTAAAATTTTATTTTTTATTTTAAAATAGTCTAAATTCAACAATAAATGTATTTTATTTTTTCGGTTCGGAACATGAACCGTCCGTTCCGGTTCATGATTTTAATAAACTCTAAATATCGAATTTCGATTCTAAATTGTAATTGGAATATTTCGGTTTGGTTGCTATAGTGTTTGTTTGGTTTGAACCAAATTATGATCATAATTTGTTGGAGAAAAAAAAATAAATTAAATATTTAGTTTAAGGGTAAATATGTCCATTTAACATTTCAGGGGAAAAACAGCTACTTCAATAATTTAGGGGGGAAAATGCTATAGGTATATAACTCAGGGGGAAAAGTGTCATTTTCCCTATATGTTTTATATTTTCTTAAATAAATATTCTTAGTTCAAAGAATCTAAACTCCCACCATCAAAATTTGAACCTATAGTAAGCGAAATGTCATCACACTACATGATAGTTGACATATATTATAAATATCTTTCGATCATATATATATTTATGTGATCCAGTATCATTTCTAATATATAATTATTATTTTCATTTATTAACCTATTAAAATTGATTAATATTTCAAAAAAGTTTAAATCAATTTATATTATAATATATTTAAATTATAATTATTTTGAATATATATATATATATATATATATATATATATATATATGTATGTATGTATGTATGTATGTATGTATGTATGTATGTATGTATGTATGTATGTATGTATGTACACATACATACATATACATACACACACACATGTGTGTGTGGGGGGGTAATAATTACAAAAGTGTCATTGCATTTTTACTTTAATTGTCAGTAATTAATCATCTTAAATGGACAACTAAATTATATTAATCCCACTTTTTATTAGGGGACTTGTTATCAATTGAACCTAGCTACATGTGTATGTAGGCCTCAAACAACAACATGATTCTCTTGTAAAAAAGTGAAGACGGATCTCAACCTCCCATCATGTTTCATCTGGTTAAGAGTTTTGGTGAAAAAAAAAATACAGGGTAAAATTTATAATTATTGTAAACTTTTAAATTTACAATATGTATAAAACTAATCTTGTCTTTTTTCTCATGTTTTTCAAAAACCCTAAACTATTAATATACACCTAAATGAATAGATTATATCGTCATCACTTTTTACTTGAAAACATGTTCTCATGCGCATAAATCCTCCCAAATTGGGACAACTATTTGATTAACTAACGATTCCTTGCACTCAGTGGGGGACTAGTTGTACGTTAGGGATAGACAAGGAAGACTAGACACACTCGACTTTGGGAAGAAGATACCAATTCAACATAAAGAGATTCCTTGACCATGGACTGTAAGGACATATAACGCATACATTTCTTACACAACGCATACTAGTAATGAGAAAATAATTGTTATCCCTATATATAACAATATTAATTGTCAAGAATAATTACAATAATCTCATATTGATTCAATATTGATAATGGACAATCAAGTAACATTGTGACGGGCAATTACAATAATCTCATATTGAATGTTGATAATTGTCCTCGTTGGATGAGGATACATTAATCTAAGTCAAGATTGGGATTTCGAGATCAAGTACGTCCTTGATTCCTGACCTTGGGCTAAAGACATGACAATAACTCATGGGGGGCAGAAAACATTGACCAAGTTTGAGTACAAGGTTGAAGATTGAGCAAAATGTGCGAATGAACTTGGAAAAAAAAAATTACAGAAAAGTAAATAACCTCAAAGAACTGCAAATAACATACTTAGATACCATTGAGTTGTTTCAAAAAAAAAAAAACATACCAGTGAGTCAGTGGCTCATAAATAGAGAAATTGTATTTTTCGTCCCTAAGTTATATGATAATTGTAGAATTTGTCTCTAAATGTTGGTTGTGCTCACTTTTTGCCTCTAAACTATCATTGGTATTGCATTTTTTGTCAATTTATTAACTTTTCGTGCTCACTTTTCATCCCTAAGTTATACTAAAGTTGAAAATTCCATCCCTAATGTTTTGTTAGTAAATGGACGAAAAGTGCAACGCCAATGATAATTTAAAGACAAAACTGAGCATGACCAATAATTATACACAAATTCTACGTATAATTCGGGGACAAAAAGTGTAATTTTCCTTTTCAATGTTTGTTTTTACTTATTGTTGTTAATCAATAGAATTATAGAAATGAGTCCCAATTGACATTTATGTATTCTCATATTCTCATTCCCTACTCTCAATATTTACTCTCACATTTAAAATTTTGATATAGACACTTTTACAAGGACTCACATAAAAAAAATAATCTATCAACATCCGCCAAATTAAAGAGTAAATTTGAGATATATATAATAGAACTCCTTAATAATACCACTGGAAACATAAATAGAATACAACAAAGAGAGATGGTAAAATAAATAATAAAAATAAAAATAGTTGTTTAACAAAATAAAAGAAAGCTACCCAGAATTCAGTAGAAAAAAAAAAATTATTAAGAGACCCAGAATTGAGTAATTAATTTAATTAGCCTCCATTAAGAATTCTTTATCCTTCTCCAGCATCTCCATGGCACTGGCCTCCAAGCTAATCTCCACATCAATGCTTCTTCCTCCGCTCTTTCCGGGGTACAAATACACCATCCCGTCAAACCTGTTATTCTTCCCGCTCCTCACGCTCTCCGGTTTTCCGAACCCGAAATCCACCTCGTACACCTTAAACCTCGGCGAGCTCCCCACCGCCACGCAGTTCATTCCGGCGTCTTTGTACTCGAAGATCTTCGGGCTTTTCTCCCATTCCTCGTTTCGCCCTTCGATGGCCTTCGCGTCGTGCCCCTCGATGGCTTTCTGGATCAGGCCCGCCCCGAACTCCGGCGGGTTGCCCAGCAAGAGCCCGGCACCGGTCACCGTGAAGATCGCCTGGATCAGATTCCCGAAGTAGGTCTCCGGCATTGGGGGTTCCAGCCTTTTCCGGCAGTCGATGAAGACGGTGAAGACGGTGTAGTCCGCCGGCTTCAGCTGCCGGGCACGTGTCACGGCGCTCCACACGTGACCGGAAAGTGACTGGAATGTTGACAATGGTTTAGAGGCGTCGGATGTTGACTGGTTGGCACGTGTTTTGATCTGGTCGATTGCTGACTCGGAGAACTTGAAGACTTTCTCCCTGAGGATGGGGGCTGACGTGGCGTCCCCGTTGGCGGCTGAGTTGGCGTGCTCTGGTGCGTCAGATGGTTTGGATAGGTTAAGGAGCTTGATCCGAGTGTTTCGCGCCTTGGAGCGGTCGAGGAAAGGTGGGGTGGAAACAGAGGTGGCCCCACAGCAGATCTCTGCCCATGAGCTCATGAAGTGCCACGTGGACATGCCGTCCAGCACCGCATGGTTAAATGCCAATCCCACTGCTACTCCGTCTCTCAGTTTGGTGAGCTGTGACACAATTGGGAGAACAACACAACATTTTTTTTTTTATTATTTCTTTTCAAAGATTATATTCGGAATCAAATTTGTAATCTTGAAAAAGAATGATATTACTACCAAAGTGTATTTCTAAGCTTCCCCATTTACATATTTTACTATTGGGCAAAGGTCAAGGTCAGTAAAGGACTAAGTTCAACACTTTACTTCTGAAAAATGTGATGATAATCTGTGTATTCGCTATCAGCTATAACTACTTTTAGTATATAATACATGTGCTTGATCCTAAAAATGGTATAAAAGCAAGGTTAAAGGTACATATCCTAGCAAAATTAAAGCAAAAAAACACATAACTAAACCTAGACCTCTTTAATTTGTTTTTTGGGGTATATGACCAGGGTTTCCAATGTAATCTGAATTGTAGGAACATTTTTTAGGTAAGACAGTTGCCGATTTAAGATTTTTTTACATCCAAAATTAAAGATCAAACCCTTAACCTTCGGTTAAGGATAGATGAGTGAGTCCCTTCCCCTTTACGACAGCCTCAGGTTAATAGACATCTTTAATAATGAATATAAACTAGAATCATAAAAAACACTCCAATCTAAATGAATTGAAGAATTAAATGCGGGTGTAGTGTAACCTGCAGGGCGAGAAGTGGACGGTGAAGGCCCTCCAAGTTGAAGATTTGATTGTGGGGGATAAGCTCCTTAAACATGGTGGTTCCTTCATCGTCGGTTAGATGAGCGACCTCCAGGGCCTCCGCCGCGGCCTCCACCACCTGGACGCCGTCCATGTCATCATCGTACACCACGCTAAACACCCCTTCTTCATCTTTCGCCAGCCTCCCACCCAGCTGATGAAAATCCTCCAGCACAATGCCCAGCCCATCTTTCATCCTCCCCACAATCTCCTCAAACTCATCACCCGCCGCCTTGTATATCAGCAACTTCTGGTTGTAGAAAAAGCTCAAGTACGGGAGATCAAAGGTGACCAACTGACACTCTTTTCTCCCCACTGCCTTCCTGGGCTTCACGTATGTTTTCGCCACCATTTTCACACCAGAAGTCTCGTTCTCTGGGATTTCGCCTGCCATGTTTGCAGATCAGAATTGAGAAGGGTGATCGAGGAAAGAAGAAGCTAAGGCCGGCGGGAGTGAAGAGTTGTGGTGTGGATGGATTTGGTTTATAGAAGGGTAGATGCGTGGTGTAGTTGGGATGCATTTATGGTTTTGACGAGTGCGGTGGAGTAGCATTTACTACTATTGCTTTCTTTTGTTATGTTCATCTTGTTTTGGAAATTTGGGTGGAATTCATGCATGATAATAAATTTCAGTTCACCATTTTTTCTTCTCCTTTTTTTGGGGAGGGGTGGGGGTTTAAATTAATTAAGGGCATACTTGGAATTTTCAGAAAATAATTTATTTTTTGAAAAAATAATTTACTTTTGTAATTTTTAGCTGAAGATCAGAAAATTATCACTAAAAGTTAAAAGATTTTTTTTTTTTGGTTCATTTTATGTTTGTTATTATTATTATTATTATTTTTTGTGGTGGTGATGCAATTATTATTGTGTGGACCATATTTTGTATGTTATAGAATAACGTATATTTAGTACAAAAATAATGTACTTTTAGTATTTTAATAATGCACATTGTATTCAGAAAAAGTACATTATTTGAGTATTGAAAGTACATTATTTTTTATAATGTACATTCAATACACAAATAATGTATATTTAGTATATTAAAAATGTACTTTTTGTTATGATCCACACAATATTTTGTCGTGGTGATGGTGGTGGACGGGGGTAATAATAATAGAAAAGAGATGAGAGAGAAGAAAAAAATGAAAAAATAAAGAATAAGGTAAATGTTATCAATTAAAAATCTAAAAAAGACATTTTTTAGTCAAATTAAGTTTTTTTTTTTTTCGGAAGTTATTTTTCAAATTTCTAAACGGATCTCAAATATATATGGGACTTGACGTAAAAAATTCAACGACCCGAATTTCATACACATTCAACGAGATATTACTTGAATTCGTAATAGCCTGAAATGAAACCGTAAGTGACATTTGTGACTCTGACTTCTTAGACGTATTAAATAAGATATATTACGATAAATTTTATTTACTATTTAAAATAGGATTAAGACAATTGTATATTTGTATTGTCATCTGAATTGAGATTATACATATATTAGGATTTTATGTATCTAAGGCATCAATAGATTCTCTTTGTTCTCTGTTGAATTTTTTTTCGTATTCAGGTGGTTTGCAGTAAATGTTATATCTCGTGTTTAAGTTGTTTTGATTGGTCTACTACCCTACTTTTTGACATTGAAATCAAGAAAATAAAATAAAATAAAATAAAATAAAATAAGAAAAAATAGAAAAATAAAATTAAAAAAATCACCCTCCATTAGGGATGACATCATGACAATAGATTGGAGGTGGGTTGGAGAAGACTATATCCATTATCCAACCCATTTTACATTTTTTCCATCCACCCCTACTTCCGACTCAAAGTGGTGAACTTTTTCAAAACTCACACTCATCCTGGGTGTATGTATCCACCATATTTACTATCTTATTAAAAAATTTTAAAAATATTTAAATTATTTGCACAAGTTATATAAACACACATGGTGGATCGGGTGAGATTTTAGACAGGATTTGTATATAAAATTCGCATCCAACCTGACCACATCAAGTTTAATATTTTAAGACTCACCCTAATTAAGCCATCATCCACCATCTCACCCCCAAAAAATTCCTATCCATACAAGGCAGATTTGGATGGCTATCCGCAAGATGGATTGAAATTATCATCGCTACCTTCACGCATTCAATGTAGAATTTTAATTTACCGTTATACACATACATATATGGGCTAAAGACCCTGTGAGAGTAATACCATAGGAGAGAAATAAGAACCAATCTCAGTACAAATCTTTATATATTTATTTATTTTGATACCAATTCCAATTTGCTCTACGTTTTCTAAATCCCATTATTATTACTAAGTAATTCACTCGCGCGATGCACGGGAAAAAATTATGTTATTATAAATATAAATAAAAAATAAAAAAATAAAAATATTTTAAATTGTTTAATATAATAATATTTTTGAGCTTCCATTGGTCAATTATTTATTATTTTTATAGAATACAAAATTACAATTAAAATTAAAATTAAAATTAAAATTAAAATTTTGTATGGTTAATACAATCTTTAATTATGTACATATTTAAATAAACTTATAGAGAGAATTTACATAATTACATTGATTTATTCTTAATTGTATTTCATCTATATTATAATTTTCACAATACGAATAATAACTAAGATAATTACATTTAGAAATTAAATTTCAAATTTTGTATGAGTAAATTTAAACTCTAATTGAACACATTTTTTATATGATTATATAATATATTCTTTATGCACATGTCATTCCATAAACCCAAATGTCATTATATAAGTCCAAGAGCACTTTTTTTGTGGAGATAATTCAAATGATTTTTTTTTTTTTAAAGTCCTAAGTTTAGAAATCCAGAAAAAACATTTAAAGACACATACGATATATACATTTATATATTTAAATTTTTAATTATGGCTCAAATGATTTTTTTTTTTTTAATTCTGAAGTCCAATAATTGACCCACGGCCCGCAGCATTTGTTTTCTTCATCCCTTCTCCCTTCTGCCATTTCTTTGAAGCATTTGAGAAGATAGAAAAGTACACTCCACAATCTCTACCTGTAGAAGGTGGTTCCTTAATGTTTGGTTACATTTTTCTACCACTTTCCATGATTCTTCTCTTTTGTTTACTCCTTTTTTTTTTTTTTTTTTTTTTTGTAGGTGTGATTGTTAGAGCCTCCTTTACATTCTACCGTCTTTTGTCTCATCCGCCGCCATGGCCATGAAAATACACAAATGGTAGGACAAATTGCTGCAGTTTACGCTCACATAGATTTGATCTGGGGTGTTTTATAGGAGAAAAATTATATGTAGAGGCTTGCATTAATTGCATTGTTTCGGATATCGAATAGACTTTCATCAAAAATTTAATTAATATTGTAATCCCAAGAAGCACCATAAATAACAAAAGCATATCAAATATACTTTCATTGTAAAGCCAAAGATTTAATTAATATTGTATCGTTTCATATTTTCTATTAATCAGAAATCGGAATCCTTAATCATAATATCATAACATTTAATAACTCCATTAATTCAATAAATATAATACTTTGTTATAAATAACTATTTTATTTTTCAAATGTTATAGCATTAATTATAACATTAATTACTTCTCAAACCATATAGTTTTAGATTTTTTTTTTTTTTTGAATGCATATAGTTTTAGATTTAATTTAATTCGTATTCTAATTCCAGTTCCCATTACCCCTACCAAACGCCTCCGGATATTTTAAACAGTATTGGGATAAATTGTATTTAATGCTTAGAATAGTATTAAGACAATTGTACTGCTATTTTGAAGATGAAGTAGGCGAGCAATGTGAGGGCGTAACTGGTCCAAGAATTAGTTTTTCATAAATCGAACAAAAGGGTCACCTTTTTTCCTTAGTGGAAGGTCATGTGCCTTCATCTTTCCAGATTTGTGTTGAACACTGCAATCCAACCATCAACTTAAACTTTTAGTTGAGATGGAACACATGCTTCAATTATTTGATGAGTTCTCACGATTCAATACTAGTACAAATATATATATATATATATATATATATATATATATATATATATATATATAGGGACGCACTCAGGTGCGAAATATATATAGGGACGCACTCAGGTGCGAATAAGTGCCTAGGAAGGAAATGCGAACGAATCAGCACGTGACACGTGTCCAGATCTAATAACTTAAAAAAAATGCGGTGGCATTTTCGTAAATAATTGAACATCGAAGTGCAAGTAAAATATCTTATAAGTGCACCTATTTTCACCTATAATTGCATATAATTTTGCCTTGTTAGCATTCACTTTCCGCAACCATTCATGCACCTGGGTGTGCTTATAACTATATGTGCAACTATTTATAACTATAGGTGCAACTGCTTATAACTATATGTGCACATACTTTCACCTATAAGTGCATGTAATTTTGTCTTGTTAACATTCATTGATCTGAGTTCAGCGGGTAGTAATACTCCTAAAAACCACTCGCAAACATTCATACACCTAGATGCAACTACTTATACATATTTGTGCAACTACTTAGAACTATAGGTGCAACTACTTAGAACTATAAGTGCAACTAAGTATTGATGCTCAGTGTAAATTTTTACTTGCACCTATAATACATTTTACATGCACTTGTAATACATTTTACTTGCACTTCGATGTTCAATTATTTACGAAAATGCCACCGCGTTTTTTTAAAAAATCAGTGTTTCTCATCCATTAGATCTGGACACGTGGACGAACAGAATCCATTCCTATTTCGCGCATGGGCGAGCCGTTCGCATCCGAGTGCAACTCTATATATATATATATATATATATATATATATATATATATATATATATATATATATATATATATATATTAAGACTTTTCATCACCTTTAAAAAAAAAAAAATTGAAATCTTGATCTTATGATCCCCACAGATGTTGTATATTGTTTTCGATAAAATTATATACTCTTAGTCTCTCACCTTATAGTCAACAAAGTGATAAATACATCTATAATTTAAAAATATATCAGATAGTAGTATGTGCAAATTAAATTTCATAAATTTTCAAACAATACAATTCTAGCAACCATAATAATGAAACTTCAAGTAATATTTATTAGATTTAATTAAGAATAGTGAGACAACAAAGGAGGTACCTTTTTTTTAATTTATTTTTTGGAGAAGAGGGAAGAGGGAGACCCTGCCAGCTAGCTAATCATCTGGTTCTTGCAAAGTTGTCACTTGTGGTAGTCATGAGTTGCTCATTATCAAGGTATCTCTGAATGCTCGTCGTGAGATTCCTAAGTTGAATCCAATCACAACGTCGTTTGATTGCCATTTTTGTCATAAAGTCTGCTGCCTAATTATGTTCCCTGGGGATATGTGAGATGTTAACTTCTCAAGCTCGATCTTTTGATCCACTGCTTGCAAGTTGCACTTGGTCCTAGCAAATTGCCATCTCTTGTAATCCAATTGACTGCGTTGCTAAAATCACATTGCATCTAACGAACACCTTTTTAACCCCTTTTTCCCAAGCCCACTGAAGTACCATATACACTCGCCTTTAGTAGTATTAATTTATTTGATT